ATTTTTCATTTATTTGCGCGAATAAGCCTATAATTAATTAAAAATTTAACCTAATATTAAGCAACAGCCGTAGTTAAAATATTCCAATTATTTTTAAAAATAATCAGTTAATCTCTGAATGCAATTATTGAGAGAAGAAAAGAGAAAAACAAAAAATAAGCCCGTAACAAATGATCCAAATAAATGTGCCAAATTTTAACGCGATCGGAAGTTATTAATTAAATTAGTTGTATTTTTGACAACTTTGAAGGGCAGTAACTTGATTATGTATCGTCGTGAATATGCAGTCAGACGTTGTCGGTGAAATTTGCGGACACCCTGTATAGAGAAAATTTTGGAAAATTAAGTCGGCAGACTACAGTAGCCGTAATAAGAAGCACGCAGCCTACGTGGTAGGTAGTAGCATTATGATCTAGGCTTTTTGTTTTTTCTCAAAGCAAGAGCAAGACCTATAGAAATTAAAAGATTGTCTGTGATATCGGACATAATTACACGGCGGTAGTCTCAAAACTACCGCCGGTAGATTGAAATTGAACACGCTACATGTCCCCTCCCGTTGTGCTCCGTCTTGCCTTGGGACTTAGAACTGTACAGGCAAGTATGTAGGTAAGATGGAGCGTCTATAGGAGCCTTAAAGGACACATGAGTTGACTCAAATTGAAAAATTAACATGCTAAGCAAAAGCAAATTTAGAAATGTAGTAGGGCTTATATTGGAGTGAGTACTAGTGCGGCATGCAGAAGATGCGGATAAAAAGATAAGGAGATAAAATAAATATCAACTGTCATTGTGTACACTGTAAAAAAATTTTACTCAAATTTCACTCAATTTTAGTCAGTAATGTATCAATTTCTGTCCACACCCGATTGAGTGAAAATTTCACTCTATTAGTATGAGTACAACTGAGTGAAACTATTGCATCAGATGTAAGTTTTACTCAAATGCTACTGCTAACTATCAATTGAGCGACTTTTGACTGTATTCTGAGTATATAAAACCACTTTTACTCAAATCGGAGTTACTGCTAACTAAGTTGACTTTTGCTCTAATATGATTTAAATTTAACTTTTATTGAGTCCTTTTTTACTTTACTTTTAGACTTGGTTTTTAATTAACTAAATATTGAGTGCAAAAATATATCACTCATAAATGATTAATTAGGATGTATAGTGTTGAAATTAATTCACTTCCCGGGGCTTCCTCCTGTTCTGGCTGAGACCCGTCAACTGAGTCCTGCCGCCGCCGGATAAGGCCTGTTCACCTGACGATCACGCTTTTCTGTAGCATCTAACGGGACCCTATCAACTGTGGTCGAGATTACAGAAGCAATATGTAAGTGGTACTATATTTACGGCGCCATTCAAATTACTCGAAATTAATATTTAAACTCACTCAGTAATGAGGACATTTACTATGATTTAGGTACAAGTGCACCAAATACGAGTTTACGTGAAGAATTTATTTAATGAGTATCTGAAAGTATTCAGTTTTAGTTTAAATATAATCACAAATGAATAAAATGATCAAAATGCCCAATATTGAGTGAAATTGTACTCAATAATTTCACTCAATGGATTCACTTCGAACTTTTATTGCCTTCACTCACACCGATTTTATTATGGTGATGGTGAAAAGATACTTAGGGCCAGCATTTTTATGACCTCAAGATAATAGAGAGACTCCAGCAGAGCTACTGCATGACTAGACACGGACCTATTTAACCACTTATTGCCAGTCAGCATATCTAATATGTCATAACACCTAAGTATTGACGAACTTTTCGATAGGTATAGAAGATTAGCAGTCTAATAAATAATTGTGGGAACAGGAATGAGGATATAGTGTTCAACAGACACTTAAAATAATAGCAATAATGATATAACTATATATTAACTATTTTCATTCGAATTCGAATGAACTTAATTAATAATGTACTGTTTATGTACAGTCGAGAATCTACTCAAACACTTCTCGGTCAAAACGAATATCGGATTGGGAAAAAAAAGGAAAATTGGGAGAAAAGCGAGAGTTGAATTATAATAATACTGTGAGCTGAGTCACGCACACCTGCAGTGAACCTTACAGTCTTCCATGTGCTTCTTCTTTCTTGTTTAAAGCGCGGGATAGATGCTCCGTCATGGACATCAACTTGTTTGTGTAAACTTAAGTTGTACGATTTATCATTGCGTTAGTGCTGATAAGTTGGCAGACTTTAAATCTGTACAGACAATTATTGGGCTTCAGTGAAATCAAACCTGCCAGATATTTTCGCTGCGTTTACAGACTTGTCTAGTGGCAAGTCGTAATGTCTGGCGGTTCTTGCAATATACAGGGTGTCCGCGTTTCTTGTAGCAGGACTTTCACAACTTGTACTGAAAGTCCTTTAAAAAAAAAGTTCATGTAAACATATATGAATAGATGCGTCGTTTTCGATTTACAGAGTGTTCAAGTTTAAAATGAGAATTGATTTTTTATTCGTAAAACGAAAACCCATTTTTAGACTTTGTTGAAACTTGGCAACTTTGTAATAAAAATACTCATTTTCTCACATAATTTAATTTGTCCTATTTTCTCCAGTGGCGTCACAACAAGATACCAGCTTGATAAAAATAGAAAAAAATATGGTACGCCACTGCTTTTTGGTAAGTTTTTCTCAGATTTAGCTATCAAAAATACAACTTTTTTGTTATTTACTTTTTTCCTATCTCACTTTATTTAGTAAGAAATAAAACATTTTCATGAATAGGTTCGAGATTTGCTTAATTTATTTATTTACTTGTTACAAAGTGTGCCGTGCATATGTCTGTTTTTGAGTTGCCAAGGTATTGGTGCAATGATTTGACGTTTGTTGACGTTCTTTAATTAAGTTTTTTCGATTGACGGTTTTCGGTTTTAATAATATACATTTCTGTTTCTCATAAAAATGCCTTTTCAGCTTAGTAATGAAGAGTATGCAGACATGCATTATTTGTATGGATTTTGCGATGGAAACTCTGCTGGTGCTGCTCGCGAATACAGAAGAAGGTTTCCCAACAGAAGACCACCCCATCCAAGCGTTTTTGTAAAAATACACCAACAGTTTAGAAGCCAAGGTTTAAAACCCGTTCCGGGCAGTAGTAGGTGAACAAATTCGGTAAAAGCGTGGGAGACAAGAGCGACGAATTGTAAATATGTTTGCAAGAAATCGACAATTAAGTACTCGGCGGGCCTCAAAGGCAATTAAATGTATCTAAAACCAAGATATGGAAAACTTTAATCAATTCTCATTTTAAACTTGAACACTCAAAAAACGCGGACAGTAAAAATATACATAAAATTAGTAGGTAATATAGTAATCAACATAAATTATTGAATTAAAATATGTCGGACCTACGGCTAATGTCGATAGAGTTACTCAAAGATNTAAAATGAGAATTGATTTTTTATTCGTAAAACGAAAACCCCTTTTTAGACTTTGTTGAAACTTGGCAACTTTGTAATAAAAATACTCATTTTCTCACATAATTTAATTTGTCCTATTTTCTCCAGTGGCGTCACAACAAGATACCAGCTTGATAAAAATAGAAAAAAATATGGTACGCCACTGCCTTTTGGTAAGTTTTTCTCAGATTTAGCTATCAAAAATACAACTTTTTTGTTATTTACTTTTTTCCTATCTCACTTTATTTAGTAAGAAATAAAACATTTTCATGAATAGGTTCGAGATTTGCTTAATTTATTTATTTACTTGTTACAAAGTGTGCCGTGCATATGTCTGTTTTTGAGTTGCCAAGGTATTGGTGCAATGATTTGACGTTTGTTGACGTTCTTTAATTAAGTTTTTTCGATTGACGGTTTTCGGTTTTAATAATATACATTTCTGTTTCTCATAAAAATGCCTTTTCAGTTTAGTAATGAAGAGTATGCAGACATGCATTATTTGTATGGATTTTGCGATGGAAACTCTGCTGGTGCTGCTCGCGAATACATAAGAAGGTTTCCCAACAGAAGACCACACTATCCAAGCGTTTTTGTAAAAATACACCAACAGTTTAGAAGCCAAGGTTTAAAACCGTTCCGGGCAGTAGTAGGTGAACAAATTCGGCAAAGGCGTGGGAGACAAGAGCAACGAATTGTAAATATGTTTGCAAGAAATCGACAATTAAGTACTCGGCGGGCCTCAAAGGCAATTAAATGTAACCAACATATGGAAAACTTTAATCAATTCTCATTTTAAACTTGAACACTCTGTAAATCGAAAGCGACGCATCTATACATAGGTATATGTTTACATGAACTTTTTTTTAAAGGACTTTTAGTACAAGTTGTGAAAGTCCTGCTACAAAAAACGCGGACACCCTGTATATGTCTTCTTGTTATTAACGAGCAGTAAAATTCGTTGTACCTATACATGTTAAAATTAGTAGGTAATATAGTAATCAACATAAATTATTGAATTAAAATATGTCGGACCTACGGCTATTGTCGATAGAGTTACTCAAAGATTTCATTAACCTATACAGGGAAAATACATGCCTTTGGAAGGTAATAAAGACGCGGCAATAAAAAAAATCAATTCATTGCGCGCTTGTTTTCGAAAAGAGTTGAAGAAAACTAGGAAATTGCACGCTGATATGGATGCAGAAGAAGTATATAAAAAGTTGTTCATAATTAAAAGTTACATCAGAATTCAAATTTGTAGATATATCGGCCTGCATTGACTACCTATTTAAAAAAACGTAGGATTATGCATCAAAAATACAACGGCAGAGCAGTCGCACACAATAACAGTACATCAGCGATATTGGTTTTTATAACTGAACGCAAATTGATGCAACAAAACTGAATAGTTGATGGTAAATTGACGATTTAGTCTTGCCGTACAATTTAAGTTTGTGCAGGCAAGAAATAAAAATTGAACTAATTATTACTTACTAATTATTAAAAATAAAGAGAGAAAAATTTTGAAAAATAATTAATTAACAGTTATTCGACAGGTTTAAATGAGTTTTGATGGTTTTATTGCATCATAATTTATTATATAATACTTTTAATTACAACAAATAACAAATCAGTCCATATCGTATTAGTATACTAAACTGATATTTTTTCAGGATGAGCGGCATTATATTCCAAAGCACGCTGAATTGCTGGTGGAATTGGTGGAGGAGTGTTGTCGTCAACTGGGGCTACTGGAAGATGATCACCACTGGGTTGGAACCCAAATTCATTGGCGATATAAGAGAGTTTGATTGGGGTTCCATCTGGGGATGTGTAAGAGACGGATCCAGCAACTTCTTCAGCTTCAGCATCTGGAACTCCAGTATTTTTTAAAACGCCATGTTCTTCTGACACTATTCCGTTTCCAGTTTCAAAAGAATGGTGAAAACTACCATCAACGCCAACATCAGCCTCTTGTTTTAAAATTGGTATTGGTTCTGGGCCAGTAAGGGTAGCGGCAGAGGCGCTTGCCAAAATGGCGAAAGCTATAATCTGTAACCAAATAACATTTTTTGGAAATTATTTAAACTACTATATTTAAATGTAAAAGAATTCAGAATAATTTGGAGTTTCTACCAAAGGTACTTAAATTAGGGCAATGTTTTATAGCGTATTACGATACATTTATCACACAAAGTAAAATAAAAAAATATTATCTATTATGTCCTGTTACATGAATTAGTCACACCAAAGTTTATTGAAAACTTGAATTTGAGGTCATATGAGTTAATAATCTATATCGTATGAGTTAGGTATAAAGATTTTTATATCCGACATGGGCAAAGTCAGAGGCGCATTCAGAAAAAATGGTTTCTCAGAATTTGATGAAAACTACAGTTTAAACTTTTTGATATTCTTAAAATGATCCACTTTCGTTCGATCAGTTTTTATATTACTATTATTTGGAGTAGAAAGAATTAGGACATGCATGAACAAAGTTTGTTTTTTATATTTTAAACCAACTGGATTAATATTATTAAAATTACTGAAAACTCCTTATATTTAACATAAATTAGAGAAATTATTGTTACTGCATAAGCATTTAATTAAGTATTCATATTTATTATATTTTTTAAATATCATTATCTAAATACTTACAGCGATCTTCATTATTGTGATACGTTTAGAAAGAAATTTAATGTCGGTATGATTGTTAAAATTGCTTGTGCCGAATTTATACGAAATTTGTTTTCAAGTCTTGTGACATAACTATAGAAGAGTCATCTGAAGTAACTTATTAACAAGGTTAAATATCTTCCTCAAATTTCAAGGTTGTCTGCCTGAAGTGAAATTCTACCCTTTCTACTATTGTTGGTCATAATTTATATACTTTTTATTTACTTAACGGAATCGAATAGTATTATTGTAATTTGTTTTTAATTAATTTTCTATCGAATGACCAGATCTATAATATAATGCAGTACAGACACTAATCCATAAAACTTTCTTGATTTTGCCGCATAATAAATAGATCAAGTTTAACGCAAAACATTTTCAAATAAATACTGTTATTTAAAATTCAATCTATAGGCAGAGATAAAGGAGTAAAATGCTACATATATATTTTTTTAAACATTAAAATAGTACGATGATTGTAGAATTAGATTTAGAAAATGACCTCATTTATGACATGCGAGATTTGAAATTTAGAAGCATGGTCAACAAAGTTTTAAAAATTTCCTTCTGGCGAATCGACAAATACAAGTCACTGATATGATTAAGTCTTACTAACAGAACATTAATAAAAAAATTTACAGTAGATTTGTATTTTCTTCCTTTCATTCCATCAGTATATATATATGAACAATTTTTTTTGTTTTATTAGTATAATTTTTGGGCATCAAGCCCGAAACCTAACAACTTTAAACAACCCAGTCTAAGGTGATCAGCACCCCAAACCTAACAACTGTAAACCGAACATATCTGCTTTTAATTGTCTAAATGCCGAATTAATCGGAACCCTAATAATTTAAACCTACCTAATTAATTTCCTAGATGCCAAAAAATTGTCAAAAAATGGCCAATTCTTATAAACCAAATTTGTTTGTACTTTAAGATCCCAATAATCGAAATTATGATGTCAAAAAAACATAAACACTTTTTCTAGACAAATATCATTTTTACCAGAGATGTGATTAAAGAATGCCAAAAAAGGTCAGATCTCATCACCCAAATTTTATTAGTCTTCAGGATAACAAAATTCTAAGTCAGTATGTCAACAAACATAAAAAGAGATTCCTTTAGAGAATTATCCTTTTTTCTGGAGAAATAATATTTTTTCATATTCCATATTATGGTAAAAAAAAGTCAGTACGTCAAAAAACATAAAAGAAGCTACTTTTAGACAAAAAATCCTTTTTTTCCAGAGAGGAAAGGGGCTAAAAACCAGAAAAATGGTTAAAAATGTTTGTTATTAATACTTCTACCACTTTTGGACTTTAAGAATATGAAATTCGGATTCAGCATGTCCAAAATCGTATCTTGACTATTTTAGATTGGAGTATTTTCCATGGATAGTTGATTTTAAGCTAGGTACTCAGCTATTTTTTTTTAATTTCTAATTATAGTCATTTTGTGGCTGCCATTTTGAATTTCGAAATTTTCACAAAAATTGTCATCGTTTATTCGAAAGCTCTTGAGTATACGAACATTTTGAAACCTTAAACGTATTTTTCCTTGCTTTTACTTTTGGAGAGAACGGTGTCCCGGTTGACATGGAACGTCTCACATATACAGGGTGTCCCAAAATAACGTGTACAGCGGAAGACCACAGATTCGTAGACTCAAAATAGGCAGATTTAGACTTATTCACCTATGTCCAAAATCGCTTCGTTTGTCTGCTAGATGGCCTCAAAGTTCGTAAAATTTTTTTGAATTTTGTTAATAACTCGAATAGGTACCTATTATTCGATTTTGATTATTTTTGGAGTGTGGACTTTTGCTTTCAATCTACAAATTTTGCTGTTATACAGAGTGTTTATTAAAACTTACAACTCCTACAAAATTTATGTATGGTGATAATATCCGTCCATAACTTTTTCGTCTTTCGGGCAATAATGACGACTATTTTTTATTTGATAGGTGATATAATTTGGAAGTTTTTGGGCCCCTAGTAGAATTTTGATTAAATAAACGGTTTGGGTACAAAAAAATATTCTTTAAATGTATACATTATCTTGTCACCCATATTACAATACTTAACAAAGTGCTGGTGCAAGGCTCTGATTTTGTAGGTTGATTATAATTTCAATTTGATCTTGTTTGGGATAGTATCATTATTGGCCCTGTTATTTTACCCAATAGATTGAAAAGGGAATTTTATTTAGAATTTTTGCAAAACCCGAATTATTGGAAGATGTGCCGTTATTACCCACAGCTAGGTGGTTTATGCATGATGGTACTCCACCACATTTCACTGTAAATGTCCGGCAGTATATGAATCAAAGATTCCCTCATCGATGGATCGGTAGAGGGAATAATGTTCCTGTTAACTGGTATGTAGGTTCACCAAACTTTGGGACACTCTGTGCATGATTCAATATCTAATACTGAACTCAGTTGTGGAGGCATATCCAAAATGCCATAATTGTTTTAAAAAATAACTCTTAAGTACTGCAAAGTGTCCTTTAACTTTCTTCGCCGAATTAACCTTTGTTGTAGGTGATAACTTTGAACAGTTTTTCTAATAAGTTGTACTAAATTTAATAACCTCAACTTTGTTATTTTTATCTCCAGCATTTTTTATTGTATTTGATTGTTTTTGCGAATCATTTCAATAAAATTAGGCATGTTGTAAATAACTCTTAATTCGTCGTATGTGTGTATCCATATCGAAAAATGAACATGTGGTATATCTTATCGTAGTAAGAATTGGCAGGTACAATGACTTAAAAATCAAACTGAAATTACAGTCAACTTACAAAATCAGTGACTACTAGCACTTTGTTAAGTATTGTAATATGGGTGGCAAGATAATGTAGACATTTAAAAATAGTATATTACGTAATAAGTGTTGTAAAAAGCATTTTACGCACGAATGGAAAAGTTACGCACGACGCCGCGTAGCGGCGAGTGCATAATTCTATGAGTGCGTAATTGCATTGCACCACGTATTACGTACTATACTTTACCTACGACCACTACTGTAAATACTTAAAAACACACCGTCTGCGATCAATGCAAGACTCCTATAACGTCGTACGGTAAAAAATTCACACAGCTTGGTAAAAAAATCGTACAGTACGTTTTCCTAGCAACCGCCTAGCAACGGTCAATACAAACAGTATTGTATTGACCGTTGCTAGGCGGTTGCTAGGAAAACTGTGCGGTTTTTTTACCGTACGTAATAGGAATCTTACATTGATCGCAGACGGTGTGTTTTTAAGTATTTACAGTAGTGGTCGTAGGTAAATATTTTTTTGTACCCAAACCGCTCATTTAATCAAAAATCTATCAGAGGCCCAAAAACTTCCAAATGGTATCACCTATCATTATAAAAAGTAGTCGTCATTATTGCCCGAAAGAGGAAAAAGTTATGAACGGATATTATCACCACACATCAATTTTGTAGGAGTTGTGAGTTTTAAAAAACACTCTGTATAACACCAAAATGTGTAAATTGAAAGCAAAAGTCCACACTACAAAAATAATCAAAATCAATTAATACGTAATTCGAGTTATTTACAAAATTCAAAAAATTTTTACGAACTTTGAGGCCATCTAGCGGTCAAACGAAGCGATTTCGGATATAGGTGAATTAGCCTAAATCTGCCTATTTTGAGTCCACGAATTTGTGATCTTCCGTTGTACACGTTATTCTGGGACACCCTGTATAATCTGAAATTTGATATTCGATTGGTTATGTTTTTTACGTAATATTAAAATATTGATGGAAAATATATATGACGATACTATATTTCAAGAAGAATTCCGTGTTGTAGTTTTCTAGTTCGAATTTTCTTCTAGATGGAAAATGGATTAAGAATTTTTGTCATTAAAAAAACAAAGTGTGCGTAAAAATATAGGACGGTTCAAATGAATTTGGTTTATTTATACTAGTAAACTAATTTTCATCTAAATTGTTCTTAGAACACTCTAGTAGCTTTGGATACAGGCAAATTAATTACAATTGCTTTATTTTGACACCGATATTGTGGTAGTTCCATATACATATATTGGGACAGCCTCTAGATTACGCCATGGAAGACAATCTTCTTAACTATTTTAATGAAAATCCGCTGTCGAGCACTAGAGATGCCAGCACTAATTTAATACCTACCTAAAAATCGAATTTGGAGATGTTTAAAAAAGTGGGATGGAGGCATACAAACCCAAATTTCTTCAGTTTACAAATTGGAAACGGAGAAAGAATAATGAGATTTTGCTTATGGCTTCAGGGTATGTACTTAAATAATCCAAGTTTCGCTACGTTCACTACAAACGGTATTATTTATACAGTGTAAAAGGCAGTATTCCGCTAAAGTGAATGTTTATTGTGGCATTTTAAATCTAAAAATCATTGGGCCTTACTATTTTGAAGGAAATTTAAATGCAGATGCTTTTTGGAGATTCCTACAAAATGAATTTATGGACGAAATTGATGACTTGCCTCTAAATGATCGGATCAATCAATGAATTAGTCATAACAGCCCTTTAATTCACTGGCCACTGCGGTCTCCAGATCTTACACCTCTCGATTTTTTTTGTGGGGAGCTGTTAAAAATAAAGTTTATGTTACGAGGCCCAAAACGCGAGAAGAACATTGTGAACGTATTACATACACATACCGTAATATAACTAGGCAACAGTTACCAAAAGTAACAATTAACAGTCGTTGACGCGTTGAAAAGTGCATAAGATTGAATGGTGGACTTATTGAAGAGATTATTATTTAAATCACTATTTTAATTGTTTTGTTATTAAATAATTGTTTCAGTTTCCTCTTTGTAATAAATTAGTAAGTATGAAATTATAATAGTAAGTGTCTTTTATTACTAATTTGAATAATAGTGATTCAAAAAGGCATGTGCTTAGTAAATAAATCTTCAGTTGGTTTAAAAAATTAAGCTTAAATTTTCTGCAACACCCTGTATTCTGTCACAATAAAAATTGGTACCTATAGTAGATTTTAGAAGAATCCGGTTAGGTTTTTGTCA